TATTAACTTAGTGCAAAATGTTTTAACAAGCCTGACTTCTCGAAGTCAACTTTCGTTAAAAGAAAATAAATAAATCAGAGGTTTGTAGGCACACTGTATTTTATCAAATAAAAAAAGTCGGCACACTAAATACCCGAATATACAAAATACACTACAAACGGTTACAAAACCATTACCTAACAATTTAAAGCATTTATTCAAATCTACCACCCTCCATATCTACCGCATTTTCCCGCAAAGCAGTTAACATAACACATTTTCAAAAAGTTCAAGCTTTGGAAGCAGCTGATTTTCCCAATCGTCTTGAATTTTGCAATTGTTTCCTAAGTGCAGCAGAACTTTATTAACAAAGTGCTCTGGACGGATGAATGATGTTTTACTCGTGCTTGCATTTTAAACAAGTAAAAAACATAAGTATTGCTTTCTCAAAAACAATAAGTGCCTACCTAGGTTACACCAAAGTTTAGATTTACACTAAAGTTTACATTTATTATGTAAACTTTGGTTATACGCAACTGCATATTGAATAATAAACTGAAATACTAAAACTGTGTATTATTTAACATAATAAATTATAAAACGTGAAAACGTTAATAATTTTAAAAATGATAAATTGTAATAACCGTACATTCGAAAACAATCATCCCTAATCATTGATGACACGATTTTCCTTTAATAAAAGACCCACAACTTTTTGCTCTACTTTGCATGGAATACGATCCTACTAAAGTGAACACGTGCAAATTAGGTTATTGACCTCGACACAGGTTAACCTAGGTCGGAAATACGTAGGTACCGAGTTGTTCATTTGTCTCCGTCCGATTATATTTTTATCTTTTATTACTTTCAGTCAATATTTAAATACTACATACATTTCACCCTCTCTTTATAATTTATCTAGTGAGTGTTGGTTTTTTATGTCATTATTTCTGTAATGAAATTGATTGGTCAGATGAAAACCCGCACACTACTCGTCGGTTTAGTTTTCAGAGGAGGTTGGGTGTCAATGTATGGACAGGAGTATATGGCGATCGTTTAATTGGGCCGCATTTTCTACCTTTACTTCTGAATGGGCCGCGTTACTTTCAATTTTTAGTAGAAGGTTTACAGCAAATAAAAAAATTTCGAGGTTCTTGCTGTGCAACAATAACAATTATGTTGATTGCATAATTATAAAAAAATAATTTATAGCATTTTAAATTATTATTGGCTGATGTGAGCAAACCGTTTATTTATTGTCTTTATATCTGCGAAAATATATAAATATGGCAACATTGCATCTAGGTCGCTTTGTTCATATCGTAGCCGGCTGACGTCAGCCGGTCAGTAGCAGCCTGAAAAGGGGGTTAAATAATGATTTGAAAAAATTTTTTTACAGCTTAAATATGCATTTATTTTTTTTTATCACGCCATCGTATTATACTCATTTTTCTCTATCTGCTTTTAAAATTAATGACATTATGACTGAATTACCCTGTATATTAGTTAGTTCAATAAGCAGTAATTAAAACACACTTTAAAAAAGTAATTGCAACTCGCCTATGTATTTGATTAAAAAAAGAATTTCAAGTAGGTATTCAGGAGAACGCGAATTATCCCTAAAAAAACTGACCGCTATTTAAAATTACATCCTATATGTATAGTCACTACAATCTGACAACTTATTATGAGTTTATTATTGAAATTACAAAAAAGTTTTTAATACAGAAGTTTTAGCTTCTTTTATGAATTTTTATAAAACAGTATTAACAGTAAATTGAAAAATGGAAATTAATAAATTAAAGAAAAATTTGGAACACCCTGTAAATTAGTGCATACTTAGCTGCGTTAAATATTTCTCGTTTCAAAAATGTTACTGTTTGATTCAGATCTGTTCGACATATTTCAATTTAAAACTATTTTTGAAAAAACAGGAGAGAAATTTATGTCTGACGAGTCGCAATGGCTATGGACAAGGCACGAGGAACAAACAAATGACTGACATAAGTTTATTTATCATCATTAATTTATTTCCTATAACAAACTATTTTAACAAAGAAATAATGTTTAGTGAAAACGAAAAATTTGGAAAAGAGAAGAAAAGAGAAACATTTTATATAGGTATAGGGTGTTCCATTAAAAAAAATTCTTTAATTTAGTGATTTCCATTATTCAATTGTTTTTTTCTAATACTGTATTATAAAAATTTATAAAAAAGCTGAAACTTTTGTATTAAAAAAAACTTTTTGTAATTTGTACATGTATATTGAGATGTATGGAAATCGTAGCACACTCAGTAGGAATATAGTACTTGTTTAGGAAGGCATAAAGCCGGGCAAATTGTGAGAGTGAGGGAATAGATTCCAGTAGTGACAGCTGTCAAGGTGCAGATTTTAATTCTTGTTTCTTTTAATTTGGCATCACCAAAATTAGATTTGAAAGTAAAGTAAAGATAAGTAAATTCATTTAGAATTATAATTCAGGTCAGTGCTTTTTCACTGAACCGCCCATGTAGACGCGGAGATCTCATGCTGGTAATAATACAGGACAATTGTACCTTCGCGGTTTTAACTATTAATAATTTGTTTTTGAAGTCTCACAAATTTGTTAAAATCTTCTTAACTCCCATGAGTTGTTATTTTGATAGTAAGCTTCTCAGCTGATGGGAATTCAAAACCTCGAAACTGTCTCTAATACTGGCGCCAAATATAAGCATCGTGAAGGTAAGTGATTGTTTCTGTTTCTTTATTCTGAGCTATCCGAAGACTACATACAATATACGGAAATACACATCAAACACCAATATAAGATTACATAACAATATTATATTATGATTTTGATTGGTTGAATGTATGAATGTCATTGGATAAATGAATGAATGAATAATTGGGCGCCTTGATATGATTGTGCTTTTTGAAAATTTGTATATACGTACTATTAGAGAGAGACTCAAATTCAGGATGAGAGATCCTATTCATGTTTATTTTTACTAACTTGCTTAAACTGATTTTAAAAGAAAGATATTTTAAATTTGACAAATATAGTATATGACACTAAAACTAAACAAATGAAGACATGAAATTTTCCCCCTTATATCTAATGTTACAGTGCAATGTTATGTTTTCTATACTGCAAACATGTCATTGCTTCACAATGAAATTGTGGTTTTGAATATTATGATTATTTAGCGCTTTGAATTCAAAGTTTGAAAGTTTAAATTGGGCAATGTATGTCGACAACTTACGATGCGTTGTATTGTAACGTTGGTTGTCTGTCCTATATGGAATTACGCTGGACACTTGAATAGTCCTGGTGATAGACTCGAACCGGATCCTTCCAAACGTAGAAAGCGCTACACTTATTTGTATTAAGTTGCACTTATTCAGTTTTTATTTATTTTAGACCAGTTCCAATTTAGTGTTGCTCTTTTCCTTATTGATAGATCTCGATGAATTTTCGGAGTTATCATATTTCAGCGTAAGTGTATTTCGGGATTTTGACATTTATATCTGTCAGTGACATTTCTCCGCCAAGATGACTGGATAAATAAACTTTTTCACGAACTTATTGATTTTTATTGATTGCAATTGTTTATTTTGGGAGCAAACTAGCGATGTTACTGCTTCAGGAATACATGGAAGACTGACTGCGCTGAGCCCTGAATTTACTTTTAATGTCTTTAAAACAAAAGAATCGTTTCCACAGGAAAGCCATCCAAACATTTATGAAATTTTGTTTTTCAAAATATTGACTTTTAGCATGTTTTATGGTGCATGATACATTTTCAGATTCTCTGAATTGATTCGCATTTTTTGATACCAGCTGCATGTTTCTAGGTTAAATTTTAAATTATGACCAAATTTTACTTATTTTTGCAAATTATAACTAAATTTTGATACACAGCTTAATTCTCTTCATGTTTGTACGTTGAATGTCTTTACTACTACCTCTTTTTCACATTTTACACAGTATTTACTTGTTTTTTGAAAGTAAACGAATGAAAATTTCTAGGTTCTCCGATTCACAGAGAACTTTTAAAGTCTACACAAAAAATTTGAACTTTAGTTGGAGTCTAAATACAGTTTATGAAGTTATGAAGGTCTTTCACTCTGCATTAAACTATCTTGCAGTACACACACACACACACTTATAAAACTTTTCACAGAGGCCCAGATTTAATTCCACACATAAATTCTAGTCACAGATATACTGTATTTTACTTATATACCAGGTTTATCGCATATTACGTTTTTATATGTGAAACACCTCTATTTTCCGTCAATGACTTGTCAAAATTCTGATAATTTTTTAAAGGTGCTCATACCTGGACCTTCACTTGATATTGAACAAAATGGTTCCTTAGTATTCATTGTTATGATACATGAGTGCATTTTAATAGTCTTTGAATGTGCAAGTTCAATTTTTGTCACAATTTTGACAATTGAGACGTTTTATCGTGTAAATCTAATACTTTAATATCATTACAAACTTAATTTATTTACAAAATATCCTTCATTTAACTTAATTCTGTAGTCCACACACTTTTTGTGACAAATTATGCTATATTATATTTTTATTTATTTGAAAATGTTTATGAATCGGTCCCATTTTTGATATAGTTTGAGTTTTCAAAGCAATAAAACATAACAATAAATATACGTTTTAAATTGATTTACCTCTCAGTAGGCGCCCTTTTCGTCTCTGCTATATACCTTAGACCATGGATACCAGCGTGATCACAATACTCTCTAAAATATTTCCGTATTCTTCTTCCTCTATGTCCTTGAAAAATGCCTTGTTTTGCCTTCAATACAGTGAATGGGTAGCTTTGACCTTCCTCAGCACTTTCCGGCGTCATTTTTTACAACCGAAACTCAAACTGTCTTCAATTTATATCAAATAATTTGGGTTAATTGCGTGTCGGAAGTCCCAGACGCTCAAGGTTTGTACCCAATTTTATTATTATCATTTTTCATTTAATTAGCAGGAGTGTGTTATGAATGTTTTCTCGTAAATTATTTTAAAGAGTTTCCTGTATCGTACACAAATTTAGGCGTCTCCTCTTCCAAATATATTTCAAAAACAGTCAATTTAATTTGCCATAATATTAATACATGATATATACAGGGTAGCCCATTGAAAACGTACCGCAAGGCATTACAGGGTAGTAATGAACTTTTCGGCAGAGTCCAAAAACAGGTAAAGTTTGCTTCTGAGGGGAACAACTTTTGGCGCAAAAAGCATAGTAAAATCTTCAACCCCCTAAGTGGGGGTGTCATCCCCCAAATTTTTTTAAATGGGAATGGGGGTCAAGTGGGGGGTCATTAGAAAGGGCTTTTAATTCTCTATACATCGATTCTTACTTTTTGAAAATCGATCCATTATTTTAGAAAATATGCAGCTTTGAAAATACGAACAATATTTTTGACGAGAAATGCGAAAATCGATTTAATTTTACTTCAAAACTTACGGTATTAGCTTGGTAAATTCCTTCAAAAGAATTCGCTTTTTTTTTTTCTGATTTGCGAATTCTTTAGCCTGATTTTGGTGAGCAAAAAATTGTCCGCTTTTTGTTTCGTATTTAGATAGGCCACAAGAAGTTGCTAGATAACTGTCTTGTGACTTGTAGTTGAAGAGTACCAATACTGCCGAGTCTTTTAAATTGATTAATTATGGTGTACTCAATTCCAGAAAGAGTAGAAATTATTGAGCTTTTTTTCAAAAACAATGAATGCGGAAATCGGGTCGCCGAACTGTTCAACCAACGGCATCCTGAGAAACATGCGTCTGGAAAAATTGTTCGCGAATTGGTGGCCAAATTTCGCGAAACTGGCTCCGTTCATAACAAAAAGAGGCAGGTTGAAAATCCGGTACTAAATGAACCTACGGAAATAGCGGTATTGGGGCAAGTGGCAATGGATAGTACGCTGAGTACAATGCAATTGGCTACTGCGACAGGAGTGAGTCGTACAAGTGTCCAACGAATATTAAAAAAATACAAATTCCATCCTTATAAGATTCGGCTAGTGCAAGAGCTAAATGAAGACGATTTTGATCGTCGTTTGCAATTTTGCGAAATAATGACTGAACGAGCGATAAACGATAATTTCCTCTTTAATGTGTGTTTTTCGGACGAGTGTACGTTCTTCTTGAATGGTTTAGTGAATCGCCATAATTGTCGTTACTGGGCTGATACCAATCCAAGGATTTTCCATGAGACACACTCCCAACACCCCCAGAAGTTGAATGTATGGGCAGGTATTTTTGGAAATTCCATTGTAGGTCCTTTTTTCCTTCCTGGAAATTTGACAGGCGATATGTACTTGGATTTACTACAAAATGTCATCGACCCAGCTCTAACAAATATCATAGAGGACGACCCTGCTTACAATGAACACGAACTGATTTTCCAGCAAGACGGAGCTCCTCCACATTACTCGCTCAATGTGCGCAATTACCTAAATGAGACGTTTCCAGGACGCTGGATAGGACGAAGAGGTGCAATTGAGTGGCCCCCTCGGTCACCCGACTTAAATCCTTTAGATTTCTTTCTCTGGGGGCACATTAAAAGCAAAGTTTACAGCACTCCACCTGATACCTTGGAAGATCTGCGAGGACGAATCATTAATGTATGTCGCGAAGTAACACCGCAAGTGCTCCAGAATGTTCGACAACGGTTTGAAGACAACCTGTATCATTGTATGCAAGTTGGCGGACAACATTTTCAGCATTTACTTGACTAATACCGTAAGTTTTGAAGTAAAATTAAATCGATTTTCGCATTTCTCGTCAAAAATATTGTTCGTATTTTCAAAGCTGCATATTTTCTAAAATAATGAATCGATTTTCAAAAAGTAAGAATCGATGTATAGAGAATTAAAAGCCCTTTCTAATGACCGGGGGGGCTTGACCCCCATTCCCATTTGAAAAAATTTAGGGGATAGCACCCCCACTTAGGGGGTTGAAGATTTTGGTATGCTTTTTGAGCCAAAAGTTGTCCCCCTCAGAAACAAATTTGACCTGATTTTGGATTTTACCGAAAAGTTCTTTACTACCCTGTAATGCCTTGCGCTACGTTTTCGATGGGCTACCCTGTATATTAGACTCAAACAAACAAGGGACAAAATTATACTAATAACTTTTACGAATAGTGACAACAATTAAATGGGATTTGATGTTTCGAGTGGTATATACTAATTATTAGTGAAAAAATGTTTTTTTCGCTTATGAATTGCCTGGAATATTTATGCATTTCGTTTTCCTCGAATATATTTCTATTGACGGGTACATTTTGAGACATTTGAAATTTTAGTACTGTTCTGTAAAAACAAATAGATATTATTTTATATCTACCATTCAGTATTATAACATACCTGTTTGGTTTTCAAAAAATTTTAAGTGAAAAAAATAGATTGACCACTATTTTTATATCAGTAACTTTAATTGTTATATTTTAATCAATAAATATGTAAATTATAATTCAGATTATATTTGGAACAAACTTTTCAAATAAGGGGAAGGTTGATAGATATTTTACCCTTAGCCAGAATAAATCGTAAATTAAAATTACCTGAATCACACCAAATTCCGCATTGCTGCACTGCACTGCTAGGCCATTTGTTGATAACTGAATTTATGGCCAGGTCGTCTAGTGCGGCTGTGTTTTTGGCGCGTTTGCTCGTGCGCTCATTCTTCAACTGGGCGAACAGACCTGTATATAATGGCTAAATAAATATGGGAACAAGTTGAAATATTTCAATGCCGAGTTGCACACACTGCCAACTTTTTGGTTCTTCAATTGAAATCGGAAAGACTATAATACTGCGTTCATTGGCTTCAATAATTAATCAGTTCGTCTTAGTCACCATGTAGTTAGCGGAGTACCAAAAGGGTCTGTTTCAAGTTCTTTATTTTTCGCAATTGATACCTCTCAGTTTGAAAAAGTTCTGTCACTACGAATCATACTTTTATGTAATGATATACAACTGAATAATTCTTCCGAAGAAAATGCGGTACAAGTTAATCAGAGATTCACCAATGATTTAATATGATCCAATCAAATAATAAAAGTAATTTATACTTCTTTAATCTTTTAAAAGTTTCAAATAAATTTTGCCCGTCTATCAACCTTTTAAAATTTAAAATAATGTTAAATTTGAAAGTCGAATTAATATTATATTATCTGATAATCAACTACAATCAATTGAGGTTGTAAACAATATAACCATTGATGTGATAATTAAACAATCTTTTGGTTGTTTGGAACTCTTCGTTCCTAATAGAGAATCACTTAGTAAAGAAAATATAGTTTTAATGTGCAATGCTTTTGTGTCATCTCATCTGAATTATTGCGATGTAATCTGTTACCCGTTTTTTTAAATATGATCAAGGGCGTTTACAAAATATGTATTGACAAACCTGTGCCACATTAATATACATAGTTAGTCATTAATAATGGCACATAGCCATTTGGTTCATATGGCTATTGAATCAAACATGCCTTAATCAATTGTTGCTCCTTTTCGTTCTACAGGGTGTTAAAGTTGAAAAAGTGTTTTCGATTTTTTTGCTATATTTTAAGTATGGATGGACCGATTGTTTTCAAAATTTGTATAACTTGTTATAAATCCATAAAATCAACCATTTTCGACAGATGTTTTAAGTTTTTGAGATTCGGCGAGAAGTAAATTAAAAAATGAGCAGGTGCTAAGATACCAAGCCTGAATTAGGAATTAAGCAACTGAAAATTTTATTATGCATATCTTAACAAATTATTTATCATAAAAGATTCTCAAAGCAACCACCAGCGATTTCAACGCACTTATTTAAATTTTGTCTGATGTTAAATAAAGTTCTATGTTGTTTGATAATATGAACTGATTCTTGAATATTTGTCCACAGTTGTTCTTAACTATTAATAATGTCTTTGTAAACTAGATATTTAAGATAGCCCAAAAAATAATCCAGCGCATTTAAATCAGGGCCATGTGCAGACCAAGGTATTTCGCTACCGCGTCCAATCCAACGGTGCAGGAAATTTCTATTAAGACACTCTCTTACTTCTTGGGTGTAATGTGCTATCAATTTATTAAGTCAATGCTTACTACTTTGGAAAAAATAATTTTTTAATTTTATTCCTGCCGAATTTCAAAAACATAAAACGTCTGTATCTCGAAAGCAGTTGAGTTTATCAATTTGTAACAAGTATACCTTTTTTATTTAGAATTGAACATAGTTCTAGAATTTCTAGATAAAATATTCAAAATTGTAAAATATAAAAAGTTAGACATATTTTTACATTGATAGGACAGTATAACTAGCGCCCCCTAGATGGGACCCAACACTGTTTGCATATTCGTATTTGCCACCTCAAAAAACGTAAAACTACAAATTTTCAAAACAATCGGTTAATGCATACTTGAAATATAGCAAAAAATCGAAAATATTTTTTCAACTTTAACACCCTGTAGAACGAAAAGGAGCAACAATTGTTTAAGACATGTTCGACTCAATCGCTATATTTTGACGTTAAGAATCTGCCATTGAGCTGTGTATCATTATTAATGACTCACCCTGTATAAAGCACTTCTAAAATTAAGGAAATTGATTTGTTAACAAGATACATCCTTTTTAAAACGCCACTCTACCTCTGTAGAGAACTGGTTGTTCTTATTGTAATTATAACTATAATAATGATAATAATTATTATTATTAAATATATCATTTGTAATTAAGTACTAAGGGACATGCTTAAAACAGAAATAATACACACAATAAAATATTATATTTTATTTAAATTTAAAATAATTTGATGGGTAACTAAAAAATGTCATGAGATTATATTTTCCAGAATCAAATTACATTTTAATTTAATAAAACTGAGGAATAAGCTTGCAGCTGATGCTATTATTTAAACAATGATGCTATCGTGAAAATTTTAGAGAAGTTCAAACTTTTGCACAGTTTTAGTTGAGTGTATTTCAGAATGTAGTTGCAAAGTTAACATTTTACTCCATGGTTTTATTTATTAGTTCATATAAGTAATGCTATTAAAGACAAAAAATATACAATTTTTCTGCGTAATTGTACTCTTTTTGTATGCGCCACTCATACCTGTACCACATATCTAACCCATGTGCGACACTTAGAGAGATAGAGCTACATTGTGCAACACGAATGGAGATACATCCAAGTTAAAGGGACTGAACGCATGCGTATTTCCCAACAGAACAGCTGTGTGACAACGTAAGATGATATTTTCAGATTTACTATTATTTCGGCATTAAACAGAATAAATATGAAATACAAAACTTTAAGGATATATAAATTTTGTAGAGTAAAATAGAATGTTTGATTATTTTGCCCATAAAATGATGCTACGTATGAACGGTTTTTATGTGCGAATTAAATACATTACCGATGAAGCCCGAATACTTCCATACCTACATGTTTTATCTCCGTGTGGTTTATGTTAGTGACGTTATGTATAAATCATATAATAGCCATTTTGGGCATTTTGTAAACATTGTTGCCGTTAGCTGTATTGAAGTGTTTTAAAAAGTGGTTTACAGTGGATTTATAGTTATTTATTTTTAAAACTTTGGCGTTTTTATTAACAATTTTTTGCAGTTACAAAGAATGTCTAAATCAGTATCGGAAATGCAAGAAAGAAAATAAAAATATACATTTTTTCGGTTTCCTAAAGAAGAACAATTGTATGATTATTACTTTTTATATAGGTAATCTTAAATTGCTTATAAAAATTGTTTAAATATTAAATTTTTATAATATAAATTGTTCTTTTAGATGTCGATAGAAAAATGTGGACACCCAGAATTAATAATGCATGGATAAAACGATTTCAAATTTACATAACTAGTGTAATACCTTTTGGAAGTTAAAATGACATATTTTCTATATTCATTATTCAGTTAGATAACAAATTTGATTGCTAATTGTATTTGTAACTACCCAGGAAACACCATTTATAATTTTTGTAAAGATGTACCTCCAGTTCAACATCCCTGTCCAAATTTTTCTTTGGACTATTTAATAAAGTAACTTGTAATTCTGCGAATTTACTACCACATAAAATCTATTAATAAAAATGTTAGTAAAACTCCTAATATAAAAAATGTAAAATTAAATATGTGTATAATTTGTTATTAGGTATTTTATTTCAACAAAAAATTAATGAACACTTAGCAATTTTATTTTAATATATTAGTTATCTAATTTATCATGCCAGTTAGACAGACACTTTATCAATTAAGTGAAAATTGTGATAAATGTAGGTGTAAGCATTTTATGTTCATGTTCATTCAATATTTCGGATTGGCAACACTTTCTTCAGATATCAATTTTTATTGTCCAGTCTGGCAACGTTTAGCATCCAGTTTAAATGGACAAGGTCAACGGCGGCATCTGTGCCTTATCATAGGAGTGTCGCATATGGGTTAGATATGTGCCTGTACGTTAACTTTTTATGAGAAAGGAATGTTTTTCGTTGTACCTTCAATCAATTGACTGTTTAACATCTAGAGCTTAGTTATCTCATACTCTCTTTTAAAAGTTTAAAGGCATAATAAAACTTCAGTCTGCAAATAGAGCAGGAGTTGTAAAAATTGTGAGGTGTAAGTTTTAATGGAGAAGTAAAAGGTGTCTGTGTGTTTTATAACATTGCTGGCTTCTGAGAAAAATTATTTATGAGTTACCATTTATTTTATGCTTTCTATGATAGTGTTTCAAAGTAGATCCATCAGAACCCTAGACATTTTTTTGTAGGATAGGTGATAGTGCCAAATTCATACCTAACAGGGTATCTTCGTTGCCTGTGAGTTTCAAATGCATCAGGTGCCCATTTTACAAATTAATATCAATTTGCTGTAACATTTAAAATACCCTCGTCTACCATGGGGTAACACAATACCGCATTAAGAAATAAAAAAATATATATTCTGAGCTTTCGTTTTCGAGGTAGAAGGCGTTTAAGACTTCAAAAAAGTATAAATGTCTTCTGAAATTGAGATTCAGCTCAAAGTAGTGACGTAGATATGAGGTGTTCTGCCTACATTGACCTAAAAAATTATGGCAAGTTACAGCAATAGAAATTGACATTTTTTACATGCAAATTTTGTTTCGAACAATATCAAACGATTTTTTAAAATTATTTTGTAAAATTTGTTGAAACTTGAGTCCGTGCCTTGTTCTTTAAAGTTTCTCTATCCTAATGAATCTACACATAACCTTTTTTTTAACTTTAGCTTCCTGTATTTAAAGGCTTCAGGAGCAAATGTATGTGCAAGGAAATATTCCTTCATTTTTGCCACATTGTTGGGGAACACCTTGTATAATTCCATATTTAATAAAACGTATTATTTTACAAATTGATCATTTGTACGGAAACGGTATAAACTATGCAAAAAAGATCCTCGACTCAAATAAAATTTACGTTTATAATAATTGATATTTTCTACGCCATTAGTTTGAACCGCAACGTTTTTATTTTTGATTAGAATTTTAGAAGTATTTTTTTAAACTTCAACACCCCGTGTCCCGAAAGCTTCAGGGGCAAAGATTTATACAGGGCGATTCACAACTTATCCAAAAAAAAAATTAAGAATAGATGCGACATGAGAAATGGAGTCAATATCGTAAAAAAAATTGTAAAATCCTTATAGTTTCCGAGAAAAAAATTATTGAAGTTGTAGTGCTTTCAACCATTACATAGCTGGACAACTGTAGTCTTTAGCGTCATTCGTAATACGCGTGGAGAGCCAAGTGGCCTCAGCGAATCCGATTTTACTGTCGTCGTTGCCGTAGTGTTTACAATAGTTTTTTAGTAGTTAATGTCAAAAATGGCTTGCATGTATAGCAACTCGGAGTTGATGGACTCGTTTTAATTTACGGTGAAGCAAGAAAACATTTGTATTATGGTGAAGCATTTGTGTTATGGTAAAACACGACAGCATTTATGTTAGTTCGTAGAATCTGAGTAAGATAGACCCAAATGTGTTTACACGTCGGTGGACAAAATTTTAAACAGTTTTTGTAACATCAGGTATGTCAAATTATTTTATTATTTAAAACCACGAATTAATTTTATTAATTAATAATAACAATAGCGACAATATCAGTTGAATTTGCTGATATAAAATAGGTGCTATAAAATTCTATTTATTCCTTTCCTTGCGAAATTCTTTCAAGTTTGTGTCCGTTTTATCACTACCGCCGTGACGGTCGTATTGTGCCAGGTAAGGTTTTACAGCGGACCAGTTTCCAGTGCCGTGCAGAAGTTTATTTTTAAATTAATTTTGAACTGCCTTTTTTGATTTTTTCTTTACAAAATTTTATTTGCAAAAGCACCCTGTACATTCAGATTTTTTGTTCTGGATAACTTCTAACTCACCCTGTATAAGAAAATACTATTCAATTTATACGAGGAAATCATTTGTTCGTTTTTGACATGTTGTAGTGTTATACCAAGTATGTACGTTGTCCATCCTATTCCATAGCACCAGTCCACACTCTGTACTGTCTTATATTACAAAATATCCTCACAGTAAGGAAATAAATAATTTCCATCAATGACAATAATGAAAATCCTGTGAACAGTCCCAGTAATCCTCCAAAGTTAGCAAGAAAATCCGTCGGTCCATATAATTCATTCCTCTGCGATGTTAGAAAGTGTTCGGTTTTGAAGAATACAGAAAGTTTTGCAATTATAATGCTACAAAAAAATATATAATGTATTTTTTTAAGTTGGGGTATACCTTTTAAATTAACATTGAACTTGAATAAAGTAACCAAATATCAAGTAACATACAATCCGTATAATATTTGTTGAGATAGAATTTTAAGAAAATTATTGGAACTACCGAAACAATTTACCGAGGTAGGGGCGTGCCTTGCTGCCAATGTCTCTATCCTCGAGTGCCGAATGCGGTTAACTTAAAGAAAGTGATGCAGGACTGCAGGAGTCTTCTTCTATCTCAACAAATATCGTACGGACTTTACATGAATTTCTAAAAATGGGCAGTAACCAAGTTGAACACATTTGCTCTATTGTAGAGAAATATCAAGCTTGCATTGACCACCAGCGTCGTCATTTTGATTACTATCGTAAATGTTTTCACATAATAATTAGTTATTTTTATATCTAGAACTCGAAATGGTAAATTTCGCGTTCGAGATGCAGACAAAAATTTATATTTGAAATCGTTTGAACCGTGTTTGAATCAATAATATTTAGGTGCGGTGACTATCATAACGATACCAACCTAATAAACAATATAAATTAGTTGTTTGAAAAAGTAGTGTCAGAATTATATATTGTAATTCATATTCTAAGAGTGTTTAATTCAAAATGAGCTCGGAAAGTGAAGACGAGCATTTACCAGGGGAAGTATTGGAAGCGGCACTAAGTGTTGTTTGACAATAAATCCCCAAATCGTCGAGACAGTACGAGATTGCCTACAACGAATTCAAAGGGTGGTGTAGTTCGAAGAAAGTTCAAAACGTGTCCGAAAGTGTTGGATACTGTCCGAAAAAGTCCAGAATTCTAACGAAAAAGGAAATTGAGGGGTTTTTATAAGAAGCACCTAATAATAGATTTCTGCTAGAAAAGGTAATTCAAATTAATATAAATCGATCGATTTAACTAATTTTGGACAATTTTTCAGGTGATTTTAATAATTGGTGTTTGTGTAGCTTTGACAAGGGATGAGATAATTCTTGAACGCAAAAAGTACCATTTCGCGTATTAGATACAAAAATAACTATTTGCTTATTCAATGTCACTATTTATTTGAAAATGTCAATCGGTGAATTGATATTTGTGCCATCCTGTATTGTGTAGGTTGTAACGGTTCAACTTACTGTTTCCTCATTTTCTTAAATTCTGGTATCCTTACAGCTTCAAGCTGCTTATTCCAGTTCCAAACGGTCTGAGACTGCTCCATATCGAAGGATAATTCTGTGCAAAGGGGCATGCAGTCGCAATATATGTCACTTTTTTTGCCTTCTTCCACATTTATGAGATTATTTAATTCTATTTCTGTTAGCTCCCCTACAAAATAAATTATGACACACTTAGAAGCTCACATAAAACGTAAACGAAGTACTTAAGAATTTTTCTTTTGATTATAAATACTTCTGGCCTGGAATGCGGTTTATGATCGCTTCCATTTATTTTTTGTATAAAACTAAAAAACTGTCATGATACTTACTCGCGGCATTTCTCATGCAATTGAAATTTCCGTTTCCACAAATAGATGTTTCATTGTCTCCTAAAAATTATAGTATCTCAGTAGTTCATTAAGTGATTATATCACATTTTCTATATAAGATGCGTTCCAAAGTAAACAGGACTTTACAAAAATAGGCATTTCTAATAAAGGCAACTTTTGGTAATTACATGTGTCGGGAAAGTAGATCGTCACTGATGTACCGTTAAAATTTGATAGTATTTGGACGAATAGAAGCTGAGTTATTGCATCTGAACTGACAGTATGTTTGTGTCATCGAACTAATACGAGTATTAAGTTTTGTTTTAAACTCAGTAAAACTTTTACTTCTGTTTACTTTGGGGCGCCCATTGTATAATCTTAATTAAATAAATAATACAGAAATAGGTTGGTTTAAATATTTTTTGAAATAATAGCAAAGTTGGCTATGACCTAACTAAGAAAATGGTATTTTGCTCATTCCAAAAATATTGAATTTACCATATTTATATCAAAAAGTAAAAAAATGATCGACTAGATAAATTTGTTTTTCTCCATAGCCAGTTATATACAAAGTAGGCATCAAGCTATGTTCAGTAGTGTTCAGGATGGGCCAAATTGGACACTACCTATTTCCTGAAAAGATAGAAAGGAGGTAAAGCTCAATAACGCATCGCGATATATCGACTCATTTAAGAGATGCGCATATTTTTTATACATTTTCTTAAGCGTATGTGTTATTTTTCTGTAACTTCCGGTTTTTCGGTTCTAACATATTATTTTATATTAAACACCATTTATATTTTTTTATGTTTGAAATCTGTTTCAAATGCTATACCATACAAGATATTTATACAAACATTTTTTTAATAATCAATTTTTTTATACAGTTCATTGTATCGTCCTTTCTTTATTATCGATACATGAAATGCATACATGGCACACTTAATTAAGTATAACAAAAAACAATTGGATAACTGAAAGTATATCTGGCATGTACTACGTGGAAGAAATTTTTTGTGCTAATATCATCATTTGATAGGAAATTTTACGCTGGCTAAAAAAAATCGGAAACTGTACAAATGTGCTATAATTAAAAAATAAGTTATAGGGCATCAAAGAAAGACTCTCTTAAAAGTATCATGATATCGAGATGTGGTTTACGACACTGAACTTTGCTCGAAACTCCTACAAAGTCATACAATTTGGCCCACCTTGTACATATTAGTTTTTATTCATGGCCAACTCCACCTTTTTTTAATTTAGGAAAAGATAAATAAACATCTATAGTATTTTTACATTTTGAGCTGTGACAAACTACATACGTATTTTTGGAAAGGACAGAACGTTCCTTTTTTAACTAGGTCATGGCTAATTATTAGTTCATTTAAAAAAATACACCTTGATTTGTAAACAGAAAACCTTAAGTTTTTAAGAAATCAACATTTCAGGAAAAAATTTAACTATAATCTCAAAAACTAAAAATCTTTTCGAATTAATGATGATTTAGGATGATATCGAAGGTGGAATACACTGTGCGTATGTATGTATTTATCAAAATCTGGCATTTGTGGAAAGTTATAAATAATTTGTATTGCCTAATTATATTTTTTAACAAAATTTTATGGATTAAAAAATTATACTGTAACTGTAATTACCAAAGTTCACATTCAAGATATGAAATTAAAAAAAAAATCAAATTTTATTATCAAGCAAATTGTTTTTTTCTAAAAGCACTCATCAAATGAAGTGTAGCAATCTTCCTCTATACCAGAAACCTATGGGTTACATGCCCAAACTAGCATTGAACTATACCTCCAATATCCAGTAAACAGTAAGTAATAAATAATTATCCAAACTAAAACCTAAAAATTATATGTCCAAGTATAATAAAAAAATACATATCTGTTATATTAAAATTCACTGGCTATTGCTGGTATAATGTCGTAGTATGCAGGGCAATGAGTGTGCGAACACCAACTTAGGTTTCTCGCATATTATTAACCAGAGCACGGGTGCCTCGCCAGTGCATGCAGCACGACCTAATTGTCTAAAACTCACCAGTACGAATGTCTGATTAGGGTGTGTACTGGACCCGAATCTCAAAGATTCACATTGTATAGCAACCACAGCATTGCATATATTGTATTACTGTGTAACGAACCTTTATTGATTTAGCCGCTAAATATCCGATGAACGATTGTCTATTCCTATGTTAATAATGTATGCATTGAATTTTGTATTTGTTGTAGGTTTGAGTACTAATATCCGATAAACAGTTTGTCTACGTCACCAATCGGCTATAAAAGCCAAGCTCTGCATAGGAAAAGGTAGTAGTGTTCATTGGTAATTTCCTCACAACGAAGTCCTCTTTCCTGCCTGGTATCGGCAATTTCCTACCAATGTTCCTCTCTCTTTATCCATCCGTCTGGAAACAGAGCGTCGACAATTTTACAACTGTTTTCAGAGCCCTCCTTATCCCTCCGTCTGGGAATAAAGCGTCGGCAATTTCCCGGTTGTTCCTAGAACTTCTGTGGCCGCTTCCGTCCAGGGATAGAGCGTCGACAATATCCCGCCTGTTCTTGGAACTCTTTTCCTAAAACTCCGAGAGCCGGTTTTTCCCTCTGGGAGTTCCGCACTCGTCCGTCCTTAATAGCCGTTAACCAATTAAATGTCGAATTGTAAAAAGCTTAATTTTCCGGCATTTTTCCGAATCTTAGTGCCGACCGTCCCCGATTTGTCAGTAGTGACTTTTTGTAAGTAAATGGGAGTGTACCTATTGCAAAAAGTGGTTTTCTTATCAGATCCCTGGTTTATACTTTTCTTCACTACTGTTACCCGGACGGCGACTTTGTGTGTGACATCTTAGTTCACACGTAAAAAATTCGTCACAGCTGTTTCAGTAAATTAATAAAGCGCATGAATTTTAAACCGCATTTCGAGTTATAATTCTTCTAAAAATTACCAAACCGAGCACAAAGCTCATACACAGCTGTCACTCTGCCAATCACAGCTTCTAAACCTTAACGTACCGGCACACTATCAAAAGTAAGTGCTTTTAGCCAGTGCAAATAGACAGTGATTTTCAGACATTAGGATTCAGACTAGGACACCCGCCAGTGATATTACAGGGAACACACAACCAGAACAAACGACCTATTAGAATCCGCGACATGGCGCCCAACGTAGGGCTACGTTGCCAAATGAGTAAATGACCTACCAAAATCCGGTACAATAATTCCATGCTATCTGGGACATGTTTCCCCCATATTAGCAGTTAAGAATCTTGTAGCTCGGATTAGATATATGTTGCAACTGGTGTTGAAGAACATTGTTTGACCATTTGATGAATTTATTTAGAAAAAATACTTTAATTTGTTTGATTTAAGTGTTTTAAAAAGAATTTCAAATCTTAAACGTTAGATTACTTGATCAAAGTCAAAATGCTGATAATTGTGTGCATTTATCTCGTTATTCGATACTGTTCTACTAAAGACAATAATGATATGCTTGAATTTTACTATCGAATTAAATATTTGGAGGTATACCTACATTACCTACTACAGTCAAATCTAACTCACTCGGCATGAAAAAATTGACGCAACCACATCGTTTCAAAGTGTAGTTGGTTAGACATTCTAACCGGCAATTCTCGAGGGTGTAGATTTTGAAAAATTTCAACGGTCTCTCGTTGGTAAAGTAGCATTCTCGATCAATGGGGTCATACTTTTTGACTTCTTCTGAAGTCGTCATCATTTTCGGCTGGATGACAGCTATGACCGAAGTGTCGAAGGGGACTTGGAAATATCTCTGTTTCACTTGGGGTATAGAGTGGGGTGTATGCAATACAATCTGAAATGGGGAAGATTGTAATACTTTGCCATGGTTAGAAAGTGCGTGGTTTCAAAAATTAAATCTTATATAAATTATTTCGAATAAAAATATTTTTCTTTATACAGGGATGGCCAGAAGTACGGAATAAAATTCATATCTTTTGAATGAATAAATTTTTTTTAAATCGCCGAAACACGTTAACTGATTTTGATTTTTTCCCATCTTTCGGTTATACATATAATAATTAATTTTTTTTCAACCCCCTAACCCCCAGCTACCCCTACTTTTTTTTTCAAATGGAAACATAAGGCATGAGGGGGCTCGTTGAAAAGCTTATAGAAAACCGAATCCAGCCATACCAAATAAACAAGTTTTATTTTTTCAATAACAAGTTTTTTTTCATTTAGAAATTGAAACAACTAGATAATTTACAAAAATAAACTCAATGTCGCAAATGCTGAAAATGTCCTCCATTCACTATTTGGCATTCTCCAAGACGATAGTAAAAGCTGTCCACAGCATTCTGAATGACTTCAGCTGGTAAATTATGCATCTCCGCCCTAATCTTGTTCTTTAAATTCTCAATATTATCCGGTCTGTCCTGGTAGACTCTTTCTTTCAAATATCCCCAAAGAAAATAATCCAGGGGTGTTAAGTCGGGGGATCTTGGCGGCCATTCAACTGTACCCCGTCTACCAATCCAGCGATTTGGAAACATTTCATCTAAGTATCTTCGAACATCAATACCAAAATGTGGGGGAGCGCCATCTTGTTGGAACCAAATTCTTTCATTCGGTATATCTGGATCAATTTCATGAGGGAAAATCACAGCTAGAGCAGGTATCAGGTCAAATGTTAGGAAATCCAGGTAGCGTGCGGCAGTAAGATTTTCTTCAAAAAAGAATGGGCCCAAGATTCTGTTGTTGATGATACCTGCCCATACATTAACTTTTTGTGGATGCTGCGTATGCGATTCGCATGTCCAGTGTGGATTTTCCTGGGACCAAAAGCGATAGTTGTGCCTGTTAACCACTCCATTTAAATAAAACGTAGCTTCATCCGAAAAAAGTACGTCTCGTTGAAAACCATTATTGTCGTCACACCGTCTCATCATTTCCTCACAAAATTGTAATCGCCTATCATAATCGTCTTCCAAAAGCTCTTGGACAAGACATACCTTATAGGGGTGGTATTTCTCTTGTTTCAGAAACATTCGAATTGCAGTTCGAGAAGCATCGTGATTGCGGGCCAATGAAACAGTTGAAGTATGAGGATTTTCAACAAGTTCTAATGCAATGTCTAATTTCTTTTCTTCATTCAAAGCACGTGCCCGTCCAGTTTTGGGCAAAGTCTGTACTGTACCGTGTTCCTCAAATTTGTGAAATATTTTACTAACTGTCCCTTGCGAGATTTGGTTTTCGGGATATTTCGCATTAAATAAATCGCGCACTTCAGCCTGACTTCTTATTTTGTCTCCACATCCAAGCAATATCAAGATTTCGATGCGTTGCCTTTCCGACAATACCATTGCAATTCAGTAAATAACTTGATTTTGACACAATAGTAACGTTTCGAACTCCAATTTACAACTAAAGCGAAAAATTAACCAGAAAGCCTGGCAAGTAAGTGGTGCCAAAAAAACGCAACATAAAAAATATATCTTTTTTGCGTTAGCAGTGATAGGTACAGTTTCAAATTCTTTATTTTATTCTGTGCAAATTCATGGAGGATAACACTGAAGATAATTAAATTTTATTTCACTTGTTAAGTAGGTGTTTTATACAACCCTAAAAACCTTGCTATTGAAAAAATAAAACTTGTTTATTTGGTATGGCTGGATTCGGTTTTCTATAAGCTTTTCAACGAGCCCCCTCATGCCTTATGTTTCCATTTGAAAAAAAGTAGGGGTAGCTGGGGGTTAGGGGGTTGAAGAAGAATTAATTATTATATAACCGAAAGATGGGAAAAAATCAGTTAAAGTGTTTCGGCGTTTTAAAAAAAATTAACTCATTCAAAAGATATGAATTTTATTCCGTACTTTTGGCCATCCCTGTATTTACGAGTATTAAGGCAGAAACCTGTGAAATGCTCGATTTAAATACAAAACCGTCTTAAGTTTATTTTAGAAATTAATGCTTATTTGCGAAAAGATTAAAGTATAAAGGTATTTCGTTCTTTTCGATCTTTGTGTTTCACTTCTAAATTTTGTTTGTTTCAAAAGAATTATTCCTGATAGATTGTCAAAACACCATTGTTACACCCTAATATTATTATTAAGAACAAATCAGGCAACTCTTCAGTTTTGTTTTAGATGTCGAACTCTTACACTATATCCTTGAACATCTTTAACGCATAAGTAGTCAATATCGGCCCTCGATTGGAGAAACATTATTTCAAGAGCACTGTCGCTTCCTGAAAGCAAAGCCCTTCTTGGGTATGTGTCCACCTTACTCTTATTTGAATAACCTTCGTCTATGTTCCATTCGCTGGCATTTTCATTTTTATGGTAATCTGAATAATGGACCCTACAAAATATTAATACGTAAATATCTTATCCCCTTCTTACCATTAGGATTTTTATACAAAGGATTTTAACAAAATTGCATTTGCTAATATTTATCAAAATGTAATTGTCCTTCCTTGCCTATACAATCAGTGATCGTGAGTTTTTGCAATCAAAATCGTTCAAGTAATAGGTTACTGATTTCCATTTTTTTTTTTTTTCAGAAATTAAGCTTGCTAAAATAAAACTGGATTAATGGATATTGTTTTGGCGTTATACAAGGTGTTAGAAGTTTGACGTCTTAATTTTAACAGACGATAGAATACCTTAAAATAAACAAAAAAACCTTATATGGCGTGGGTCCTAAACTCAACTATTTCCGAGAAAAAATTATCAAAATCTCTAATGTAATGTACAAAAGTTCAATTAATTAAGGAATATTGACATAACTGCGGGCACAGAATACCATAAAATACAATGTTTACCACTTTTATGAACTTCTTTTTGCTTAATTCTAAAAAATAATTAGCGTCGTAATAAATTTAAAATTTGATAAAATTCATATCGAGCAATGTGACAACGTCGCGGCGGTTAACACGAGGTATTAAGGTGTCCAACAACCAACAATACGCAATTCAGTTGGTATCTGGAATTTGACAGTCTTGCGAGAACGAATTTTTGCCGCTGCCCATCAAATAAGGATAATCGAAAATGGTGGTAGATATTTTGAGCATATGTTATAATTTGTTTCGTATTTGTACATTTAGAAATTACTGAATTTTGCTTTTTGGTAAGTACCTACATTATTTTTAACACGTTTGATTATTTGGATGACGTGAATCATTGGGTACTAAAGTACCATATTCCATATTTTTCAAATTCATAATTTGATTAAAAGTTCCTGTTTTAAGAGATTCATAATTACTAAAATTCGAACTAAAATTTAAGCACAACACTATCTTCGTACTACAAAATCGATACATTTTATTTTATTTATTTAAAAACTAGAAAACAATTGTCTTGAAATTTACTAAATGTTTCACAATAATGGTTGTTTACATTTTTGTTACTCCGTAGGACAAGTCTGCCGCGTGCACACATGGTGTGCATCAGCTGTGTAACAATAGGTTAAGCGCTGTTATCACGTTGTGATGAAACTCCCCAATATTAATACTCGCTGTATTTTGAAAACTGTTAATCTTACGCTACTGTAATGTACAACTTTTTTGTTCATTTATGATTAGGTACTCTGTCACATGCTGAAGTAATGGCAGTCAAACTTTGTACACTCTGTAAAATCATAAGTACAGATTTCGAGTTTTTGATCAATGAAATGGTTGTTATAAAAAACATCACTTTTAAAAAAGCAAAATTTTAAATATATTTCTTCATATTTTTATCTGGTTTCGGATAAAATTCCATTTATATTAATGCAAAAAATTAAAGGGTCAAAAGAATTTCCGAAATATTTCCGTGATTTTTGACAGACTGTATTGTGTAGGTGGAAAATGGTCTTATCGGGAATTAAAAAAAGCATTTTGAAGCTCTAAGATTCTAGCTTTTAGATCTTTCGATCGAAATTTTTTATATGCTACGGTTATCATACAATTCTAAGAAATAGCCCGACAAAAAGTCCACGGACTTGAAACTTTTTTTTTCAGCTAAGCCAGTGCATGGACCAGATAGCTTGTTTATTTAGCTTCAATTTCCTTTTTTTTTTTAATTTCGATACGATCATTTTTCATCGAAATATCGGACTTTTAATAAATAAATTTCCTATAACCTGCTGACGCAGCTTTTCGGAAAAATTGTTTTTCGTCTTTTACGCGAATTTTAAAGAACAGGAAAAAACTGGTAATTTATGGTTTTTTAGAAAACTGACGGCTAAATTAGAAATATTTACAAAATGACTAATGTTAAGCACGACTTTTACAGTTTGATATACCCAGAAGAACCTTGTGAAGTTTTATCTCGATCTAGTGAACCGTTTCTTTGTTTCAAACACTGAAACTTTCGAAAAAATTAAAGGATCACGTTTTTTAGCTTAAACAGTCCATAATCATGATAAAATTTTTCGCAAATAACGTTTAAATTCTTGAAAAAATTTTTTTCTCGCGCTATTTCTTAGAATTGCATAATAACCGTAGTTTCTAAAAAATTTCGACCGAAAGATCTAAAAACCAGAATCTTAAGAGCTTCAAAATGCTTTTTTTTTTTAATTGCCGATACGACCCTTTTTCACCTAAATACAGTCTGTCAAAAATCACGGAAAAATTTCGGAAATTACTTTCAATTTTTTGCATTAGTTTATACAGGGTGAGCCACCAGTAACTCCACGATCGCTAGGGATCAAACGACAAATGGTACAGAAACCTGTTCAGGTGGGTATGTGTAGGTTGATTACGACTACATTTTAAAGATATTTTGAAATATACAGGGTGTCCAGAAGAAGCGTAGAAACCTCACGTTACAAATATCTCCAATACCGTCAGAGATAGGTATAGGGAATTTAACACAGTTTGAAAGAGATTTAAATTTCCTAATCCCCAATGTAAAAATATACTGGGTGTCTCATTTAAAACAACCAAGTTATTGATTTTTAATGTTGAGAAAAATATCCAGCAGTTTTTTGAACACCATTTACAATAACCCTAGCGACCGAGGTGTTACTGGTGGCCCACCCTGTATATCGTCAATAAAATTACCACAGAAAACTTGGAACCTTGCAGGTTAAAAAACTGTGGAAAAATACAGTCGCTAATTGCGAATTGGCAAATGCAGAATTTATTCTAATAAGCTGATTTAAGTAGAAATGTTTGCTTCTCATAAATTAGTCAATTAGAATCGCAATTCGTAAAGCTTTTCCAATGCTTTACAAGATATAACAGATAACTTACAAGTCACGTGACCAGTATTTTTTTTTGGAACGATAATTTTATTTCCTTCATGTTGGCAATTAAATTTCGGTAATATTGAAAATTCATGTTTATTGTAAACAAATCATTGATATTGGTGACCCCAAGATGTAGTTATTTTTCGTTAATAGTACCAGCCATGCAATGCAGGTTGCCTAAGCTCGGGGGTCACGTAGCTTGTAAACACTTAAGGCTCTGTATTTTACTACATACACATTATCTCTAAAAATCTCGTCCCTGTCCAACATATTAAACGTGTAGCATATCCCCTCGTCCAAAATTATTCGTTTAAATATGTCCAAACAATGTCTTTGCTTTCCCATAAATACGCATGGAAGAACAGTAGAAACTTGTATCTGCATCTGAAATCCAAGAAATTTAATGTATATGCATACTCGTATTTATTTAATTTAGTTTAACACTAACCTCATGAAGTTTATCGAAAAAGTCGTCGGCAAATGTTTTGTTGTCTGGAAATTGTTCTATACCTTCTTCGCAAATTAGCGACAAGTACTGTGCTTTCAATTCCCTGAAAATTTACTTATTGTTGATCTTAAACTATACTTAGGGTGGCCCAATAATGTGTGCACGTACCTACCACATTCTTGGAGTCAAAATAGGATTTATGTATTAATTAAAATAAAATATTAATGTCTAGTTAGTTAAATATTGCTTAAATTAATTTTAAATGTAAGTAAATATTATTCAAGTAACCACGATAAATTTTATTTATATGGTTTCCTTAAACTAGTAACACGTTTTTAGAAACTTTTTTGTCGATTTGTGACTTAGAGTCTGTTATTAAATTATATATTATGATAAATTGTGATTCTAGGCAAGTAAATTGAAGACTACCATATTCAAAAAGTCCTAAGTGCCACCTTTCCATAAAATGCTTTTAACGTGGAATGGGTCGTATGTGCCATGATCTACTTGCACAGAAAGTTTCAGATCAATGGTGCTGCAGAAAATTTTACTTTAACATCAAAACAAACTAAGTGCCAACAAAGTTGCAGGTTACAGTGTTTTAACAGCTGATTACTAAATGTTTGTTGTGCTCTTGTATAGTGTGTATTTTGTTTATTTAATCAAAAATTATGGAGATTCCAGAGGAAATAAAGGTGAAAAAGAGACCAAAGACGGGAGCTTATAGAAAAGATGCCAAAAATAATAAAAAGAACTGGAAACAGAACATCAAGGACAATCAAGAGTTTCATTCTGATGCCTGTGTATTGTCATATGATTTACAAAAACAATCGTATCTCCCTTCACTTACCCACACGCAGATGTACTACAGTAGACAATATACTTGTGTTAATTTTGGAATACATCTTGAAGATGAAGGAAAGGGGTTCATGTACTTATGGGAGGAAATTTCTGGCAAAAGGGAATGTAATTAAATTGGGACCTGTAAATACTCTCTTGTGGTGAATGAGTTGAAAACTAAAAAAGGGAACTAGTCTTATGGTCTGATAACTGCGGTGACAAAACAAAAATCAGGGTATTTTAGCTGTTTACTTCACTTTAGTATCTCAAGATTATTTTGATGAAATCATACATAAATTTCCACAATGTGGCCATACTTTTCTTTCATGTGATCGAGACTTTGGTTGTATTGAAAAGGCAAGACGAGGTCTGAAACTTGAAGTGCATATGGATCTAATTAGGATCATGACAAGCGCAGGAATCCACAAACCTTTCATTATTATGAAAGGTTTGTGGATGTGTTAAGGTTATTAAATTATAACTTATCGTTATGGGTTATTACCCATAATGATGAGTTTTTCGATTGAATGCAAATTACAATGTTGAAGATTACCAAGAATGATCCTGTGGTGGAAATCAAGACAGCTTACTCTGAGGCGAAAGGTCAAAGTTTTCAAACCTGGATTTAACCAGCGATATTTTCAAGACTTACAGGTTGAACCTGTTCCCCAAGGAATGCGATCTTGGGCTGCAGATAAAAATAAGGAAATCAAGGCTATGATTCCATTTATCTCCTTGGAAAATCACGATTTTTTTAAACAATATTTTTATCACCTCTGATATTTTTGTAACGTTCTTGAGTTTTAAATATATTCAATTAAAATGTAATCAACTGCTTTTTCCGATTGTGAAGCATGTTATTGAATACCCTTAAAGTAGTTTATTATGTGCAAGTTAGTTGGTACATAGGACGTTATGATATTGAAGGGGCTATATTTTTGTCTGATGAATTAATAATCTAAAAAATTATAGTGTAAATACCAATTAATAAATTTAATAGTGTAATATTAGAAGCACCATAGCTTTTGCCTTACGGTAATTTTTTAAACATACTTCTGATCTTCCTGTAAAATTTAGCTTTTTGTATTTGGGACCTTTTGAATGCATTCAATTATTGAACACGAATAAACATAAGGCCTATGGCGAATATTTTTAGAGTAAAAAGAAAAATGCATCCTAATACAGGATAATTATACCAGTGTTTGAAAAACAAATGTATAATTGTTTAATACCACGAAACACTCTGTATGATAAATAAATTTACATACTGTTCAGGAGAGACAGTCTCGTTGTCCTCTTTCATGTGAATGACCTTTGTATAGTTGAGTTTTGTCCTAACCGATTTGGTCATCAGGCAGACGGTCACAGCAGGAAAAGGTATAGTAAAAATCGGAGTTTCCTTTGTAGAAAAACTGACAATCACAGGGCTCTGGTCGTATTTTTTGTAGATGCGGCTTATGAGGTAGCAACATAATGATATTGAAGTTATTATCATAATTCCCCACAATAATCTGTAACAATTTTATATTTAAATACAGTGTGCCACGTAATACGCTGGATAATTTGTTTGATTTTTGTGGGCATAGGATCGAATGATTTCGTATACATTTATTTCAATAGTATCAGTAATTACTATTTTTCGAATTCAAATATTTTCAGTGCCTCCTAAATTTTTAATTCAAACATAAACTTCAACTTTCCACAAAAAATATTTTGCCATATAAATTAAGTTACTACTTTTGTTAAATAATTATCAAAATTCTTGAGTCAAGATCAAGGTTCAAGGTCATATCAAGATCAAGTCGATTTTTTGAAATGGTGACCCTCCTTTTCGACCCCGAAAATGGGAAGAGCAGAAAATTCTGCATCCGAATGAGTCAATGGTCAAGGTTAGTTCAAGGTCAAATGTTGATTTTCAGTGTAATTTTTTATTTTTAACTATGGAATCAGAAAGGGTGACAGTTTTTGAGAGATACCTGATGGTACTCCTTAGCGACCTTAATCTTGAGGTCAAGGTCGAATGAACATGTCAAGGTCATATAAGTTTTTGTAGTAGCGAACCCTTACTTCGACGCTAAAAATAAGAGAGTGTAGAATTCTACATGTTATCATGATCTTAAACGTGACCTTAAGGTCTATGGTCAAGGTCAGGTAGAGGTCAAGTGATTATTCTGGCTGTCATCTTTTATTTTCGAAGCTGGAATAGAAGTGACTCACAATTTTTTAGTAACATCAAGATCAAGGTCACTAAGGAGTACCATTAGGTATTTACTTAAAATCTGTCACTCCCTCTGATTCCGTAGTTAAAAATAAAAGATTACAGTTATAATATTTGACCTTGAACTGACCTTGATCATTTACCTAGAGGTCAGGGTCAATGTTATATTCGGATGTAGAATTCTGTTCTTTCCACTTCCGGGGTCAAAAAGTAGGATCGCTATTAAAAAAACTGACTTAATCTTGATATGACCTTGAATCTTGACCTTGCCATCGGATGCACCGTGAAAAATGCCAAGACTTTTGGGCTCAAAATTTATCACAAAAATGCTTTACCGCTGAGATTTTTGGGGCATTCCATGCTTTTGACTAAACATAGACATAAACTTAAAAAATTTATCTTAACTCACAAGATTTAACGTCTTTAAAATTCAAATAAAAGCATTAAGTATAACCCACACATATATCCTTGTACAATGTGTTTTTTATTTGTTTCCCGTAACTAGTATTACAACATGAATAAAGTGTTGTAGTCCCACCCTAATGAGTTTTATAGGTCTCAAAAGAATAACGCGAGGCACGCCATGTTAATTGACATCGACAAGTAAATTTTACCATACTCTCATCCTGCATCAATAACTTTTTCTCGTTGTGGAACCATAAATACTGTCCCCAGATGTGAAAAACGTATTTGTAAATTCATTTTCAGTATTACTTTGAACAAAAACTAATAAGTGTAATTGTTAATAGGTTTCATTTAAAACTAGGAAAAATAATCTATAGTAAAAGATTTTATTTACGAAGAAGTTACCTAGTAATAAAACACTGTTGTTAATGTGGAATATGAAATTGAAAATCAGTAAATTGTTTAAAATTATTTACGACTTCTAATCGTATAAATTTGTTGTTTCTTTGGAAACAGTGTATGCCATGACGTTAATATGAAATGCCTAAATGAAATCCCTAATCAGGCTCCATGTTGAGTATGGGTATACAAAGAGGTTTTATGTTAAGAACATATTTAATTGGTTTATATAATTTTTACTTTTTCTTTTACTTTATATAGTTGGTTTTATTATTGCATTTTAATTGAACCCGAAATATCGAGAAAGAATAAACGTCTATAGTACGATCATATTCGATGCAAAGTAATAAATCATTGCCTGTCAAGGGAACCAATGAAGTACGCCTTTAAGGGTTTTACAAATTGAATAATTTCTTTATACATTATGAAGGGACGAGGGGATCAGTTCAGGTCTGGCACCCTTGTTGCTACAAAAATTCCTTTATTCTCATAAACTATTTATTTTAAATGCAATTTATTATAAATCCAATTTGTTTCCTAAATTCCACATATGTACTACATTTTACCTCTGTACGCGCCACTGTTGTTTACTTGTTTTTTGGAAGCGCTCTCTAATTGACGGCAAAGCTCGCCAGGTTAGTATTTGACGTATAACCGACCAGTTCGTACACTCGATGCACCTGGGCGACTACAGCTACTACCAGAACACAGTGCGTATGCAGCGGTATTTCAGATTTTACATTGAATTTCATTTTAAATTTGAAATGATTTATCTTACGCCTCCTAAAAATGATGACACGATTTTCCTTTTATAAAAGGCCGACAATTTTTTGCTCTACTTTGCATCGTATACGATCCTACTATAGTACCTATCAAATCCAAAATTAAGACCTGGAAAATCCACATGGTCCATCTGCCTTTACATGAGAAAGACAAAGTAAAGTAAAGCAGTCCGTGCGATAGACAAGGATAGCTATAGTGAAGACGTTTCATAATCTGAATAGTCACCGCCCGTTTCGGGTTAGAACTATTCAGATTATGAAACGTTTTCAATGTAACCATCCTTGTCTATCGCACGGATTTCTATGACTTACTTTATCGCTCACACGTAACGGCCGATGAACCATGGGGACTTTCCGAACCTGTACATATATGGAGTTGTACTGTCCTGTCAATGTAAAAATATGTCTAACTTTTTATATTTTACAATTTTGAATTTTTTAACCAGAAAGTTTTGAATTACGTTCAATTCTAAATAAAAAAGGTATACTTGTGACAAATCGATAAACTCAACTGTTTTTGAGATATAGACGTTTTAATTTTTTGAGATTCGACGGGAATTAAATTAGAAAATTATTTTTTCCAAAGTAGCATTGACATAATAAATTGACAGCTGTCCACTACAGTACCATATTGTTTCTGGCAATTCTACAATTTGATTAGGAAGTAGTTTTTTCCTTGTCGTTATTTTTTAGAGAAGAGGTAGAAATATCCCGCACTGTTGGATTGGACGCGGTACCGAAGTACCTTGGCCTGCACGTAGCTCTGTTTTAACCCCGCTGGATTTTTATTTTTGGGTATATCTTAAATCTTCAGTTTACAAAAACATTATTAATGGCCATGAACAACTGTGGATGTGGATGGACTGATCCAAGAATCAGTTCATATTATCAAACAACATAGAACTTTATTTAACATCAGACAAAATTTAAATAAAAAGCTCGCTGGTGGTTAATAATTTGTTAAAATATGCATAATAAAATTTTCAGTTGCAGTAACGTTTGTCTTAATTCTTAATTCAGGCTTGGTATCTTAAGACCTGCTAATTTTCTAATTTAATTCACGCCGAATCTTAAAAACTTAAAATGTCTGTATCTCGAAAACGGTTTAGTTTATCGATTTGTAACTAGTACACCTTTTTTATTTAGAATTGAACGTAGTTCAATAATTTTTAGTTAAAAAATTCAAAATTATAAAATACAAAAAGTTAGACAGATTTTTACATTGATAGGACAGTGTAACTAGCGCCCTCTAGACGTGAACCCAAGACTGTCTGCAAATTCGTATTTGCCTCCTCAAAAAACGTAAAACTACAAATTTTCAAAACAACGAAAAATGAGCAACAATTGATTAAGGCATGTTTGGCTCAATCACTATATTTTGACGTTAGCAATCTGCCATTAAGCTTTGTACCATTATTAATGTTCAACCTGTATAATGTTAAATTGGATTTTACTAAGTTACAAGTTAGTTACAATTAGTTACGTTACGTTTCAACTTATTGTCGAAAAACAAATTGGGATTCATATTAGCACCCATCCTCTAACCAATTAATTGAATTTAAGAAGGAGGGCCTTTATAAAAGTAATCGTTAAAGAATATGATTTATTTTTGAAGGTTTACATTATTTAATGTATGTCATTTTCGTTAATAATATTTAGATATCATTCTTAACTTTTATTTTAAATGATTATCTTGTCTATGAAGTCAGCCATATTTTACATATTTGGTATTTTTGTATCAAAGAACATTATTTGACCAATTAATCATATTATTAATTATTAATAAACGCAAAGTTAAAGCCGCTTTAATAATAAAATAGTTTTTTTTTTAATTTCTTGAATTCCATGCGGATTAACACTGACTATATTAATTTACCTTTCACATAGTGACCGTTTTTCTGCCAAATATCTGAAGCCATGGATCCCCGAACTTTCGCAATATTCTCTGAAATATTTTCGTGCCCTTTTCACCTTAGGCGTAGACCTATATTTTTTCGAAACATTGGAATTCGGTTTTGATATTACTGATATTACTGGCTTCTCACTGATCGTTCTCATTTTTGAACGTCGACTAAATGGAAAAACAATTAATGTTTGATTAAAGTTTGTTGCATGTTTAAATAAAGGTCCCAAAAGGTGTCTTCTATTATGTATATGTTTTAATTACAGCATACTTTTCATTTGCATTAGCTGAAATGCACAACACTATTAGGTAATAATTAGCTTATTAACAAAATACATACAATTAACTTGATAACTTGGGAATTTCCTATCCCTGTATTATCTCTCTACACCGTCTTTTATCCCGTACAAGTGGGATTTCCTGAAATTCTGCATAGAATAGCTAATTCGAAAATTGATTAGAAGAAATATGATGTCCGTAAATCCTTTTGCTGAAACAAATCGACAATTTTCTTTATAAAAATTGCCTGTTTAATTTTAATGACATCTACAGACCATTACCTGTAGCTTTAACCAATAGCAATCTTTCCGTATCGGTTTCTATACTGACTTGTATGTGTAAAGCTGCGAATGTCCAGTAGAGGGCCAAATATTCGAATTCCAATCCAATCTTATTGGAATTGAAACAGAAGTATAACTGGTTACATAAGTCAGCGGCCTGATAAAATTTTCTCTTTTTGGCAAAAGTTATGGATAAATAAAAATTTTCTTTAAAAACAATCTTTGAATTACAAATCTCTTTATTATTGATTACGTTTTTTTTAACCAAAGATGAAATTAATATATCGTCTTCAGGATTATTGTTTTACTATTTGACAATACTAGTTCAGTTCACATACTAAAAAAATTAACGGTTTAACGATAAACGATAACGAAAATCCTGTGAAATGTATAGTAGTCTTCTGTAATGTCAAAAAATATTATAGTATTGAGATAGATCATCACGATTTTCGCTAATTTTATCTGCATTGTAAACAATATCAATATTTAAAGAGGAAATCGGTAATAAAAAAAAACATTTTATACTTTATAAGAGAAAGTTTATTATACATTACTTAATAATATTGATGGATGTCATCAAAGACAATTAAAAACCTTTTAACTTTGTAAATAAGGTATAAACTAAAAAAAACGAGCCACAAGTAGTTTCGATGTTTTCAACAATGATAATAAAATAAGGAATCATGCAAGATCAAGAATTAATTTAATATTATAAAATCTTGCACTGCAATAGGATACCAGTAACTTATAAGTAGAGCTCGGGACTCGGTCGGATGATCATAGCCGTCGCGTCGGCCTTTCGCTGCAACGCACCGTACGAAACCGGTAATAATGGCAGTTATTGGCTTCGCGTTTGCTTTTGAATACGTGTTTTAATATTCTAATAATGTCGAACGCGGCAGGGGGTAAAAAACGACCTTTCGCTGATAAAATACGCAAATTTATTTATCTTTATTTATACCTACTTCTCTATTTATTTGTTTACGACGAACGCGCCTATGACTAGCCGATGAAAACACCGAGCTTTACTTATAAGTCTATTTTAACCTCAAAATATATATATACTATGAGGAAGTGGACAGTCTTTAAGAGGACATCCCTCAGGCAAAAATGGGCAAAAAAGTTTATATAAATCTTGATCCTGAATCCCACTATTTTACCGATGGCTGTCTTTTTGGAAAAAAAATAAATATTTTTAAATATTTTGTAAACATAATAACAGTTTTACTTTCACCATAGGACAGTGTCTACATATTTTCAGTAGATTCTGAGACAAATCTCATTACAATGATTGAAATTATTTAATGATTTAATTAATATCTTATTTAACATATGTCAAATCTAAATGTGGACGAGGTTAATATAAAAAACTAATAAATAAACAAATAAACAAAGAAAAATCTGCAAACAAAGTTTAAACTATAGGACGAAAGAAAAAAACAAATTGTTGAAAGTCATGTTTAAAGAAGATGTAAATGTTATTAGATACAGTAATATTGAAAAAACACAAAGTGTAGTTTTATTAAGAAAAAGATTTGCAATCTAATGAAACTTTGAAAACTAACGCTAATCTTCAAAGTTTTATGTATTTTTTTATAATTTCTCATAATTAATAGTACCAGTAACAGTGTTAGATTAACCTGTGTTAAACTTTATGTTTATTTGTTCTTATTTCTGTATATCAACCTGTATTTAACCTATAAACCAAAATTATTTTAAAAACATTGTTCCTTGGTAGGACTATCCTTTACATAGGATTATGCACAAATAGAACGATATGGCAAAAATTTAAAAAGTAGTCTTGTAGGAAAAGTAAAGTAAATTTTTAGAATTTAGAAAATTTCTGTGAAATGGTGAACTATTAAATGCATTTTCTAGTAACGTATATTGGCTTACTTTTTGGTATTTTCGATGTAACGTTGCCTATAGTTTCTTTTTATTTTAGATACTGATTGGTGACCTATATGGAAATGGTATTCTATTTGGCAACAAAACTAATAGTGGTTATATTTTTCTAGATCCAGCTAACCAGGCAATTGCAAATAGTAACTATTAATATTCTATTTAATAGTATGTACCTATGTATTCCTTATTTTTCAATATTTTTATCCCTCACTTTTATTACCCTACTTGCAAATATTTTGACACAAAACGTAAACTGATTACAATAACAGAGATTTAGAGAAATTGATTGGACAAAATGCCTACTCTCAACACATGTACTTGATAGTGAATTAATACGTATTAAAAGTACGTATATGAAAGAACAATCTTTAAAAAACTGGCAGTTTTGGACCATCAAAGGAAAAGTATGAAACCAGTATTTTTATTCTAATTTTGGGGTGCTGGATATGATTATGCTATTTATTTTTTCTGAAAACGACGGGAAATTGCCTATTTTTTAACATTGTTTTTTGTAAAAAAAAAATTTTCTAGTAAAAAAAAATGTAAAATACAAAGTTCTTTTTTTCTTCTCTCTATTTAGTCACTTTTATATGTGGTTTTAATAGTTAAAGTACGACAGTTTATTATGCCGTAGTCTGTGTACCTGGTCGCTGTGGCTCCCATCAGTGCCTAGCCCGAGAACAACAAGGGCAGGTCTAAGATTCCTAAGAAAGGCTAAGGAAGTGAGAGGTAATTTTGTAACTGTCAGCGACCAGTTACGCAAGCCACGGAATAACAACACTAAAATCTATGGTAGGTACTCTAAACACTTATCTGCTGAGCAACTACCACCGAGATTAAAATGTAGACTACTTTGGAAGATCAGCAATATTGCTCTGAACTGCATCTTAGTCGTATGTACATGCCCTGTGATTTCTCTTTAAGTACTTTGGTATGTAAAAAATATATCTAGGTCCACTCATTCTTCTCGGAATTTGGTTCACTATTTGGTTTAATCTTAAATCGGCATTCAACTGATGTCGGGTTGATTGACCTTGCCAATTTTATTCAAATTATTAGGAGGTGTGTCTTGAAGTAATATATGCAATCCAATTTGAACTCGAAAACGATGTTATTTACAAAAAGGAGACATTGAACTGTGGTATTCTAATCCTATTAGATTTAAATATTTCGCCATGAAATTTATCTCGAAGTGCAGATTAGTGTCAGGAGAAAGAGACAGCACTTTTCTTTTCTCTTGTAAATTTGTAGGATGAAACGAAAGTTGGCTATTTTTNTCCGAGGGCTATTTGCCCCTACCGGCATTGAATTACATTCGCGACACCCAGTACAACAGCTAGGATCGCTCATCAGCTGGTCCCACCAGGCACAGACCGGTTTCGGACTTATTAGTCCTCATCAGTGTGTCATAGGTAGGACATAGGCGACATTCGTGCAATAAAGTACCTGGCAAATTTTAGCAGGTCGCTTCCACCGTAGTAGCCATTTGAATGGCATAGTGGAGGTCAGCGCGATAGATGGAGCCTTTGTGCTTCGCGTACTAACTTTTCATATTTTACAATTTTGAATTTTTTAACCAGAAATTTTTTAACTACGTCCGATTCTAAATAAAAAAGGTATACTTGTGACAAATCGATAAACTCAACTGTTTTCGAGATACAGACGTTTTAATTTTTTCAGATTCGACGGGAATTAAATTAGAAAATTATTTTTTCCAAAGTAGCATTGACATAATAAATTGACAGCTGTCCACTACAGTACCATATTGTTTCTGCCAATTCTACTCAATTTGATTAGGAAGTAGTTTTTTCCTTGTCGTTATTTTTTAGAGAAGAGGTAGAAATATCCCGCACTGTTGGATTGGACGCGGTACCGAAGTACCTTGGCCTGCACGTAGCTCTGTTTTAACCCCGCTGGATTTTTATTTTTGGGTATATCTTAAATCTTCAGTTTACAAAAACATTATTAATGGCCATGAACAACTGTGGATGTGGATGGACTGATCCAAGAATCAGTTCATATTATCAAACAACATAGAACTTTATTTAACATCAGACAAAATTTAAATAAAAAGCTCGCTGGTGGTTAATAATTTGTTAAAATATGCATAATAAAATTTTCAGTTGCAGTAACGTTTGTCTTAATTCTTAATTCAGGCTTGGTATCTTAAGACCTGCTAATTTTCTAATTTAATTCACGCCGAATCTTAAAAACTTAAAATGTCTGTATCTCGAAAACGGTTTAGTTTATCGATTTGTAACTAGTACACCTTTTTTATTTAGAATTGAACGTAGTTCAATAATTTTTAGTTAAAAAATTCAAAATTATAAAATACAAAAAGTTAGACAGATTTTTACATTGATAGGACAGTGTAACTAGCGCCCTCTAGACGTGAACCCAAGACTGTCTGCAAATTCGTATTTGCCTCCTCAAAAAACGTAAAACTACAAATTTTCAAAACAACGAAAAATGAGCAACAATTGATTAAGGCATGTTTGGCTCAATCACTATATTTTGACGTTAGCAATCTGCCATTAAGCTTTGTACCATTATTAATGTTCAACCTGTATAATGTTAAATTGGATTTTACTAAGTTACAAGTTAGTTACAATTAGTTACGTTACGTTTCAACTTATTGTCGAAAAACAAATTGGGATTCATATTAGCACCCATCCTCTAACCAATTAATT